AGCCCATTGTTGCAGCCAGGGTATCATTCCTCATTTCTTCTCCGGAAGGGTCTTTCTCTTTTATGCTGTCCCTCCCCTTTACCAACCATGATGTCCTTATCCAGGGATTGGTCTCTCCTGACAACATGTCCAAAGCCAGTAAAATGAAGTCTTGCCTCTAAGGAGCACTCGGGCTATACTTCTCCAAAAGAGATTGGTTTGTCCTTTTGGCAGTCCATGGTACTTTGAATAGTCGTCGCCAGCACCACAATCCAACTGCATCGGCTCTTCTTCCTACTTTCTTATACAATGTCCCTCTTTCTTTTTGTTAAATCATCTTATTGGGGGCTCTTACAGCAACTGTAGCCATCCATCCATCCATCCATCCATCCATCCATCCATCCATCCATCCATCCATCCATCCATCCATCCATTGTATCAAGCACATGTATGTGTACAAATGTTGCCAGCATCCTTTTAAAAACATTTTTCGTTTTACTTGAGCCCTTGGTATCAGCTCCCCCTTTTTTTCACCCCCCCTACCCCCATGAACCCTTGATAAATCATAAATGATTACTATTTTCACATCTTACACCGTCGGCTCTCTCCCTTCATCCACGTTTCTGTTGCCTGTCACCCCAGTGTCCCACTTTCATATGCATACCCCCTAGTGCACTCGACCCCCCAGTGCCCATCCTCTGGCACTGTCTCTGACAGTGTTCTGATTCCATTCAGTAGGCCTTCGCTGTCTGACCGTGTTTTAAAGCTCAGCACGACATTGTCAGGGGCTGCTTCCTCCAAAGCAGGCTCCCAATTCCCTCTTTGTTGTCTGTTCTTACTCTGGAAGCTCTGCTGAAATCTGCTCACTTTGAGTGACCTGCTGGCACCAAAAAGTGGTTTGCAGGAGTAGGAAACCTCATCTTGTTCTGCAGAGAGGCTGGGGGATTCCAGCTGTTGACCGTGGAGGTAACAGCCAAACGCATAGCCACTACATCACCCGGGCTCCTGGAATAGACCCATAGGCGTTAAACAGTTATTAAATTAACTCATTAAACCTTAGGAATTTAGTTACTTGTGTTCAAGTTCTAGCCCAACCATAACATTGCCTGCTTTGCCTCTTTTTAATTCGAGCTGACACTCGAATAACATGGATTTGAAATATGAGACACAGGCCCATTTAAACAAGCCATTCCTGCTCCCACCTTTCCACCCGCCTTGCGGTGGGGTAAGACTATCTGCTTCAAAATGCCATTGGACCCCAATCACCTCCTTGTGAGCATACTTGCAAACCTTGGGCTTGCCACCATAGCAACAGGGGGAAACATCTGTTAAGTGGGCTTAATTCAAACCCGTGTTGGTCAAGGGTTAACTGAAGTTTACGTATTATCAAAGCTCCAATGCTCCAATCAGTGAATTACCGAATATACGTATGTATAAGCCAAGTTTTCTTAGCACATTTTTAATGCAGTTTTTGTAGTAAAGTTAGGTGCCTTGGCTGAAGTTTGGGTCGACTTATACTCGAGAATGTAGGTAAGCTCATTAAAATGTATATCAAACAGTCCCCAAAGGTTTCCTGCTATGCCATTTCAAGGTCCCAGAGGCCCTGATGATGTATTTGCAAACAACATGCCGATAGTGGATAGTGCTGGTTTCTTGGCACACACACCTGCACCCTCAGCCCCATTTTAGGCATTATCCACTATGCGAAGTAAAAGTTCTTGTCTTCTCTGTGACTCCTACACCTCCACCCCCTCACCCCAACCCCCATGTCCTTGCATTGTTCTCAAACCATATTCTTCCAAGCTACCAGTGAGTTTTGGCAGCATGTTGGCGGTTCCAGTAGTGCCCTGTTCTACAGAATTATGTGAGTGAGGGAACTATATTCCTGTTGAGTTTCCTGGTGGGCAGGGACAAATCTTTTCCTTCCCCCACAGCTTGGTTTTCATTATCTTTTTTTGTTTTGATTTTATCTTTCTGTGTCTTTGTAATCAGTTTCACCCCAGACTCTCTCTAAATTGTGTAAATTGGTTTTAATACTTTAAGCCTGTTTGGTATTCTATCCATGTTTATCTTTTCTATCTCCTAACTGTGTGATCTGGACTGGTTGCTCTCTAGACCTAATTTGCAGCCTTGTTGTGGGAATTTCCTCTTTGTTGTTAGGTCTCTTAACCCTTATCCTGGCTCCACTCCATCATTTTGATACAGCTATTCTGCAGTAGCTGCCTGATGTGTGGGAAGTCAAATTTTTGAGACTTTTCAGGCCTGGAAATGTCTATTTTACCTTTGTGGTAGATCGGTAAAGCTCATTAAAGTCCTGGATTGGAAAATTAATTCAGATTTTAGAAAGCATTGCTCCTACAGTAGTCTAATATTCAGTACCACTCTGAAGTCATTCTGATACCTACTCCTTTGGGCTGCCCCCCTCCCCCAGAAATTTACAAAATGCCTTTGTTTCCATTGTTTGAAATTCTGTGCTGATATGCATTTATTATTTATTGTTAGGTACGTGTTGGGAATTTTAATTTGGCTCATTTCAATGATAACCTTTTCTTTCTTCTGCATGAAATGCTTATTATGTAGCTGTTGACTCCCGAGCTCTATTTTTTGTTGTTTGGCCCCTGTTCATATCTTTGCCTTTTTCCTCTCCCTTCTGATGGTTCCAGGCATCCTGTTGAATTTTTTCATTGACCAGACTTATTATTTCCTGAGGATTACTTTCTTGTTTTGAAGATTTGCATCTTGAGTTTGTTTCAACGGGTTTTGTTGAGTTGTGTTGTGTTCTAACGGTTTCTTCCTCCTGCATGGTCACTTTCCCAAGTTTTATTTTGTTGTTATTCTTCTTCATTCTGTCTTTCATGATAAAAATACTTGCCAATCGTCCACTTTGGTGGTCCACTTGTATTCAAGAGCAAGGCACTAAACAGTTAGTTGACACTTCTCGGTGCATTGAGGATGGGCCATGC